AACCCTGTTCTCTCAGGTCTATTTCTGAGGCGACGAGAAAATGATCAAAGCTATGTGACCAGTCTGCAGGAATGACCTTCTGACTGTCTCAGGTGTCTCTTATTATATACATGCAAAAATATATATATATATATATACACACACACACGCAGCCTCACCATCTTTTACACACAGTCAGTCTTATGTGCAAGACTCATAAAAGTTGACAGAAGCCAATGGAATATCTAACATGCAAAACCAAAATTCTCATGTATCTGTTGACCCTGACTTTTCAAATCTCTCTGCATGTCTGTACAGTTGAGAGAAACTTGAGTGGAACTTGCTGTAGGGACTTGTGGTGTCACATACATCCTGAAAGTGCTCTGTGAAAGCTGTATCTCTTCATATATTTTGTTACTTTCATTCATTTACTTGTGACAGAAGTAAACAAAAATCTTTAAAATTGTTAACTTATCACATTAATTTGTTTTTGAGCATTTATAATTTTTGCAGTGAAAGTGAGTGATTTGAAATGACTAATCTCCAGTGGCAGTAAGTAAATGAAGGGCAACACAGAAAAAAAAAACTACACACAAACATTAACACCTACAGAGAATTTAGAGAAACAAATTAACCTAAGAGTATGATAAGAAAAATGCTGTAAAAATTCACCACACAGAGTTATTGACCATTCATTATTTACAAAGTAAAAGTGTTTTATTAAACAAATTTTGTTCACTGTTCTTTGTAAAGTGAAATTTACTCGCTGCCATATCATATTAGACCAATTTAAATGTTTATCGTGTTGCCAAGGAGCATCTTCTTGCAATTCAAAATATAATCAAGTTGAAAGGTTATGCATTTCATGGGGAGAATATCAGGCATTTCAAATATTTAATATTTGCTGTTTGTTTCGACCTGAGACTCCTGCACAATCTGCACAACACACACAACACACTGATAAATTCAGGTACATGAACTGAAGAGGAAGTAGTTGAGAAAGCAGCCAAGGTCCAAGTAAAATCCTTTGAAGTTCTTCTGAAAATCTGACAGATTGTTGCTAAAGACGGCTCTGCAATATTGCAAGAAATGTGGAATGAGAAATAGAAGTATGGTTTAAAACCTCTGGCCGATACTCTGCAGCAAACAAGAAGTAAAATGTTGCGGCAAACTGTAAACATGGTTACAGGTCGACGTATGAAGCGACCTTTGGTCCTCCTCAACATGTGTTGCAAATACATCTGAATGTCTTTGATGTTCAGCTTTTGAAGAAACTTGAGGCGGCCAAGTATCAGCGGCCAGCTGGGTATCTCACGCAGCAATCCGTCATTCCGATCTCTGTTTCCCGCTCTGTCTCCCCCTCATTCAATCCACCCCTGGGACAGTCAGCTATGATCACCTGTCTGAGCTTTTCAGGCAGCAAAGATGATGTTCAGAGCACAGGTCCCCTTGAATGTGTGCAAACTGAAAGGTCAAATCTTGAGCAGTTCTAAAAATATTCAAAGGAGATGAGATTCTTGTTCGTGTCTGCTCACATTTCGCTCATCTACACATGCACACCCAGCTTTAGATACTGGGTCACAGCCAGGTTTAAAAGACCCTGACCACTGGCATCTATGACAGGGAGGTGTTAATAGTTTAAATGGGCTCTGAGCCAAGTAACATCCCTCTCCCTCACTCTTGCAAAATGGTTCACGTTCTTTCAGGCCTCTGCTAATGGCTGGTGGGTCAGGAAAGCCAAGACCACACATTTACATCAGCAGCCTTTTCATTGTTTGACCATGTTTGGGTGTCTGGTCACAAAGCCAACACAGGATTTTAGCTGTTTCAAAACCCAAGCTGACCTTCTCAGAAATGGTAAATTCTTCTCATGAAAAGTAAATGAATTTTAAGAATCTCATTTGGAAAATATCTCCATATTTGATGGACTGTTAACTCTCAAGCATAAATCTTTCTTTATCTCCTTACTTCCCCCCCCCCCCTCCAACATTTTTTGCTATTTTTCCCTATCTTGTGTGGGAGGCCCGGGGTCAGAAAGCAGCGAGGTGATAAATGCTTCCAGGTCACCTCTCCTGTCTCTGGGGGTCAGGCAGAGGGTTTCTGCAGTGACAGCAACAACGTAATCATTCAGCTGCAGAAGCAGCAGAGCTGAGCCCTGCTGACCTGCCCGGTCCCTCTCTGTCTCCGCTCCATCAGCTCCATTCTGTTTCCTTAAAACAGCATTTGCAAAAAAAAAAAAAAGACATCTGCTGTTATCTAAACAAAGGGACTGCATGTTCTGGCACAGTTCAGATATCTAGAGTAGAACAGAATCTCCTGTCATGTTGGGACATACGGTACATGCAATATGTTGTTTATGTGTTATGAGATTACTGTTGACACCTATAACCTGACCTAAAGTTAAAGATGTTCTTCCCACTGCTCTTTTGTTAGGTATAAACTCTTGTTCCAAATGAACTGTGTTGAAATTGAAGTGAATACTGTTCTATTAAGTAAAACACGATTAGTGAAATTGGACTGAATTGAATCTTATTATTAGGTATTTGTCATAGTTTGAAAGATGAAACATTTTTTTTTGCAATGTTTAGGGATAAATAAGAAATGTGTGAATTAAAATTACAACTCTTAGTCATGTCAGTGGGCTGACCTTATTCTTGTACTTGGTTAAACTTTACGCACATTCATTGTGTAGCTTAGCAAATATTAGAGCCCAGTGGTCTTCAAGCGGATCAGCTCCAACTGTGAATTGATGCTTTGTGCTCCAGCTCCCTGCGCTAAAACTAATCTAGTTGACTTTCATAACTAGTGTAATCTGATTATAAATGCCACACCGAACAGTGTGGCAAAGATCACAAACGTCTTGCTGAGAGGTACCTACAGGACTCCTGTTCTGACTGGAAACATTCTCTCGATGAAGCAGGAGATTATACACCCTGCTACGTCACTGGAAAACACTAAAGTCTGCCAGGGTTGATGCTAATTATTGCAATTCTGACTAGAGTTTGACTGCTTATAAAACATGTGAGACCTCTTCAAGTTAATTACATGGTGTAATGAGTGTGTGTGTTTTAATGAATAAAAAAGGGATTTTTTTGTTTTTGTTCTCGTCCTTCTTTCTCCTGTAGCCCCAAAGTGTGGCTAAACACTTTGGAGATTAGCAGTTTAGACTTCCTCACAATAGCTCCATGTCACATTGAACTTAAAGTGGCTCATTTCCTTTTTCAGTTCCTCAAATTGACTAATGTTTATATTTAAACCAACTCTGACATGTGGTGTGTTTCTCCTGCAGTCACCGCAAAGGAAGGTCCTCCCTGGTTTGTTTGGGTTAGACAGCAGAGGAATGAGAGAGGAGGGAGGACGCAAAGAGGTGAGGGTATGGTGACGGGAGTTGAGGGGGGCGGGGGGGTGGGTGTTAGACAGCTTGGACAATACACTCTGAATATAAAAAGGGGAATAGCTAAAGGCCTGGAGGGGGTGGAGAATTGGAGAAAAGAAAAGAGAAAGGGTGGAAACAGGGGAAAAATATAGGAGCAGATGCGGGGGAGGGAAAGATAATTGACGGAAAGCTTAAACGTGACTTGTGATGAAGCAAGAGGATATTCAGAAGGGAACGGGTGAGTCTATGCAAAGGAAAGGATGGGAAAGATAAGGGGCAGTGGGAGTGAAAAATAAGGAGGAGGAGGGCAGGGACCCTGGGGTTAAATTCCTGAAGTGCAACCAACCTGGTACTGCTCTGCTGCCCAAATGTAAACATGGGACAGAGACATGGACTGACAGCCTGTCACAATGGCTAATGAGAGAAATTCAAACACATAGCTGCGTTCCAAAGAAGCAAAATGTGCAAAAACATATGATGCAACCAGGAAGATGACAAAGAATAAGAAGTCATTGATATGATGACTATCCCTAACTTCTTGTTTCTGCTTCTCCAGTCTCTTCCCTGTACTCAAATGCTTTTATTTCTTTCCTACCATAACTCTGTGACATTATTACCAGATATTATGAACTATGCAGAACTCTTGGTCTTTGAGTTTGTAGTTTCAACCCACTAAAGATTACTATCAATGTTGTCCCTAATGCTAAGGAGGACAAAACTGCTAAGGTATTTTATGCACTACCTTTGTAAAATATTTCCACAGTTCACTCCAACCTTCTGCTAAAGAAGAGTTCGATCGGTTTTCTGAAGCTCTTTTGCTACATCTAGTGGCTTTTGTGTGTCATTGCAGCTCATGAAAGCTCACCCTTCTAAGGCAGATGACACCAAATAAAGTTCTCTTTATTTATGCATTTGAAGTGCATTTCTGTTCTGAAATAATCAAGATTCCTCAAGTCGTCTGTAGCCTGTTTTTTTAGACAATGCTAAAAAAAATTGCAGAGCTGCCTTTTTTTTTTTTAGCATTGTCCTGCCCTTAGCTCCATCTATCTCTGTCTCATTTCCTTTCCCTGACAGACGAAAGCGTTATATACTGTTTCAGAGTAGGCGTTTAGGGAAATTTTCAGTGTTTGGTTTCGCCTGTCCATAGCATTTTTCATCCAGACCATGAGCTTAACTTTGGTGTCATCTGATCAGAGCACCTTCTTCTGCATGTTTGCTGTGGAAGAAGGTACAATTGTATGCAGGATTTTTTGTGAACGTGTGTGTGTGTGTATGTCTGTGATCTTTCAAAAATGGTTTCTCTTTAGTCAATCTTCCATGCAAGGACGATTAGTAGCTATGTGCCACTTCCCATAAGTTTGCCACTTTTTCCTCCTTAACAATTTTAATTGCTTGTCCTGTTTACATATCCAGCTGAGCAGTAAATCTCTGCAGCTCTTCCCAGGTCAGACCATTTGCCTGCTTCTCTGTTGCTCTCCTTGTCCAGCCAGTTAGATTGGGCAGACAATAATGTCATGGCGAATTTGTGGCTGTGACATTATTTTTACTTTTTACATTTTTATATGATAGATTGAGCAGAAGACAATTAAATTTGGAAATTGTTTAATGACTCAACTCACTATAAAACTGCTCTGCGGCTTTTTCCCCAGCCCATCTGCTGCGTTTCTTGGTCATGATGCTGTTGGTTCACTGAAAGGCTGACTATATAATACTTGCACACTGCACATTTCACATTTTTATTTGCTTTTTAATGATGTAATATGTTCATTATGCTTCACAGTTACGCTCTAAATCGTCTAGTTTGGTTACATAAAAATCACAGATTTTTTTTAATTGTGGCACCACAGTAACCTCTTTAGTGTCAGAACGGTGTGCACAAATTTTCTCTCAAAATTCAAAATGATTTCAATAGACATATGCAAATGAAGTACATTTGTTTCCGCAGCACTATTAAAATTTAAATACATAGTTTATTTGTTTCATTGCAAATGTCAATACAAAAAAAATCTCATCACATATAAAAAAAAAAAAAAAACAGAAGTGTCCCTGCAGAGAACTGTGATGCACATTTTAGGGAAATGAAAGCAGCTTTTTGAGGCTGTCTGGTAATTCAGAGCACAGGGGAAAACCAGACAGCTCCTCTCCCTAAACTGTGTAAACAGAGTAAACATTACATTGTATATCATAAAAAAGAGAGACACAATAACTTAAACATCTCATGATAGTCCAACATTAATGGTTACTTTCTTTTACATAAAAACGGGAAGCCAAGAAAATCTCCAAGTTTGTTTAAAAAGAAAAAATATTGCACTTCACTGGAACTGGTACGATAACGTCAAAGTGCACATGACTGTGCAAACGAAATACTGACATCAAGCCGTGAACAGTTCCTTCAGGCTACTAGTCTTGCTGGTACAAGCACACCCTTTTTATAAATAAAAAACTCTTTTTTTTTTCTTTTTGTAGAATGATTTATAAAAGTATAAAATCTTCACTTAAGAGTTCTAGGACATCAGTACATTCAAAACCAGATCTGCAAATGTGAATGTAGAGCAGTCATTCCAGCAAAACACAGTGCAACAAAGGAGTCTTCATGAGGTTTGGTTTTACTTCTCGTCTTTGGTAGAGGTTTCCATTCGGCAATCTTTCGTATTGCACGCTGAGAACACAATGAACCACGCCTCGTCGGAAATGTCATTTCTTTGGAAAGTTAACCACTTTTGTTTGATGACGCACAGTTTTACCAGTTAAATGTAAATACTTCCTTCTGCTGTGAGAGCATACTGTCACTCCCTTGTGCGTCAAAGCCTCGGTGGGCATTCATTCACCGGCTTTAAGTCACATGTGCGTTTGACTCACAAATAGCTTAGGTCCCAAATTCCAGGACATTTGAGCTGCAGTTCAAATGTTCTTAAAGGTATTCATGATCCCATTGGCTCTCCACTTATATTATTTAGAACTACGACCTCCCTGGATGGTAGAAAATACAGCAGAAAGAAAAGGAAGGAAACAAAGAAACATTAGTAAACAGTGAGTCCCATCCTGGCTGGTAGTCAGATCATGTTGCAAATAATGTCATAAGCTTTTTGTCATTAGTATGTCCACTTTGGTACAATTGTTACATATGACCAAATAATTGTATTATGGGTGTATTCAAATAAACCAATACTCACTCAACATTGTTTGGTTCTACTGATCCTAGGGGGGAAAAAACAACAAAAAACAGTAGAACAAACAATGAGTTTCCTTTTTGGATATCATAGCGGATCAAAGAGGTGTATGTACAAATATGTGTTAAACTTTCAAGATTTCATGAGAAATACCTTTGTAAGTACCTGTTGTTCTGTTCCTCAAACACCGAATCAAAACCAGGCCAAGCACCAAAACCAAACAAACAGTTGCACCTATCACAGCAAAACCGAATTTGTTGGGAGGGACCTTAGAAGAACCTTCAGAATAAAACAAACAAATAAATATTAGAGTCTGAAATGTCTTCTGAAAAGACATCTTTAAGTCCAAGTCTGGAACTTTTCTCTTTTTTTTGGCGAATTAGTCAGTTTCCACAAAAAGAGAAAAACATTCCCAGTGTGGGGTTTTTTATGCAAAATATGTCCTGCTTCAAAACCCAAATGTAGGGAGCTTCTATGCTTTTATACAAAACGTAGTGGCAAAAGGAGAGCAGGCCCCCTAATGAAATTAGGAAAGAAAGGATGAGTAAATTGTTGGGTTTCTCTGTGGTGTATTTTTACAGTTACTGGTCTGATACTCTTTTATATTCAGTAATGGTTTTGTCAACACTGAACAGCAGAATCAGTTCTCTGAAAAACCTGTCCATACTGAACTAAAACAAGATCCAATCATGACCTAAACTAGGCTTGCATAAATAAGATCCTTTAGGAGAGAAAGTGTTTTTGACATAGATATCCTAGCTAATCATTTATCTCTATTTTTAAAGAAGAAGGCATATCTTCTCCCAGGTCTGTGATCTGAGAGATCAAAAAACGAACCAGCAGTTTAAACTCAACCAAACTTTAATAAAATGTATAAGATATCTTTCGGAAATCAGACAGAAAAATTGCATACAAAGATTCAGTCAGACCTGGTAGACATTCTGATTTCTCACAATAATATGGATTTAAGCCACACCGTAAGCTGCAAACAAACTGTTCTGAAATATTACTGCTCCACCTGCTAGCATAACTAATGACAGGTTTAACAGTTTCTGTTTTATGAGTCATACTTCCTAATTATGAGTTATTTCAGAGAATTTGCAGCAGAACTTGGAATCGCATTATATCTGATAGCACATTCCTGCGCTGACCAGAGCAGGAATGTGCGCACACAAACCAGAAAAAACATTATATTATTATGACAGATAATACTTAGTTAATCAATATAAGCCTCAATATCTGCTGACCAACATATTGCAATAAAAGAATAAGTGTAATCCCATATAGAAATAAAAGACAAAATGCAATCCCATTGTATTTCTATTGAAGATCCAATTACATCTGAAACTGAAGTGTACTGCATTTATCATGATTATCCAGCATGTTAAACACATATTTGAGCTCTTTTAAGAAAATTTTGTACACTTCAATAGTTTCACACGTTATTCGTTCAAAACAGCTCAAACTCAGTCAGATTGTTTGAAAGTTGTCTGTTGCATCTATCAAGAAATTGATGATTGCATTTTTGACTGGATTTACGTCAGATTGCTGGCCAACCCACTCAATCATATGAGTGTATTTAATCTAAACAAGTCCATTGTATCCACTTTAAGAGTTTTTGTCCATCTCGTCATTTTTTCCTATAGGATGTCCTGAGTTAGGCTCATTCTCATAGTGGCTGATGGTTGTTTTTCATACTCTTACGGAAGCAGTTTTGTCTTGGTAGGGTTGCATTTGTGCCAGACATTTAGTGGGGAAATATTTGCTGGTTTTAGTTTTTGTCTTCAAAGCTGAAATATTCTGTGTTGCATCTATTTAGCATTCTCCAACATAAATCTGTACATATTAGGTTTCACTGCTGAGACAGTCAAACTACCTCCTCCCAGTCCAAAAGAAGACGCCTTTCCAGTAAGATTGTGCTAAAACCTCCTACACATATTCCATAAAAAGTAAAGAAATGTACAGAGGAATTTTTATTGGCTACTCACTTCCTAAAAATTATCAAGTGACTAAAAGTGGAAGACAGGGTAGAGAAAAGAACTCACTGTCCTGTTTCAATTGAGGACTTACACACTGAGACGCTCTCTGAGGTGAACTGGTCCACGGAGCAGGATACCTTCACTTCATCAGCAACGCAGTTAAAATTTGCAGTGCTGGAGATGCTAACCAGTTCTTCTCTCGAATAACTTTCATCATTAAGGAGAATCTTCCACGTTTCCATGCTGATGTTTCCAGGAACATTCCACTTCATCCGTTTTCCTGGTAACCCATTGTGTGAGCGACATGTCACGTTACATTCTGATGGGATGCCACTTTCTTCTTTACACTTGACCGTCATTTCAGGCTTACTGAAGTAAGCTGCAAGAATGGCAGATGATGAAAATGTGAGTTTGTCAAACAAATTAAACCACAGCTTTTGTTTTCTTATGATAAATGTACATTAATTATGAGGATGAAATGTCACAAAATGAAACATTGGAAACACTGGCTTATGTTTTTATGTGAAATGTTTCATAGAGTTTGCATTCAAAGAAAAAAAGAAAAGAAAAAACACAAAAGAAGAGAAAATGAAAGGAAAAGAAAACAAACGCAAGTCCTCTTTAAAACAGACAATTCTCATTTCTCACATAAAAACACATTCCCTACTCCTTTCTAAAGGATAGACAGTAAAATAAAGGCTCAACTATTGTTCCAGGGGTCTGTAGATAACAGTTCACCCATCCTGACACCTGAATGAAACATAATTACATAAAATAAGCAACAGTTGGACAGACATTAATGTTAAAAACTTGCCTACCTGTGACATTAAGATACATCTGGATCTCGTGAGGATCTTCACCTTCAGCATCTTGACACCTATAATAACATTTGTATTCCCCACTGTCAGATAGGTTTAGGTTGTAGATGTGCATACATTTGTGGGTTTGATCCATTTCTGTGTTTGGAAGTATATTTAGAAGAGGTTTTGAAAAATGATATCCATTACAGAAAATGGCTTTTCCATCAACAACTTTTTGAAAGTACAGAAACTCCAGTGCGGATTCCTTTGCTACTGGGCAGTAGAAGGTGATGTTTCCTCCAACCTCCCCAACATACATAGCAGGAGGAGAATGTCCTGAAAAATGAAACAAACAAAAAAGGAAATTATTAAACTTTTTTTTCATAAAACCTCTGCATTTAAAATGATCTGAAAATGTTAAACAATAAAAAGCATTGTCCTGTGAGTAAGCCCTTCTTCATTAAGGTTTTGTGTGGGTGTGGGACATTTTGTCAAAGTTTTGATGACTAATTAGATTAATCTCAGTTGTTCTTAAGTTATTTCTTTTTTTTTTTTTTTTTTAATTCCTGTCCCGGCATTGTCCTCAAAAAGTGTTTCACAAGCTAAAGCTTCCTGAATGGCAAATTGACACATTGTGTCATATGAATGAAAGTTTAAGAGCCATTTTAGATATATATAAAAAAAAACATGATGCTTTTCTCTCTTTAAGACGGTTAAGACATGCTCAACACAGTGTGTTTACAACACCAGTTTAGTATTGAGACTTCGGTTTTGAAAAAAAAAACCCATTGAAGTCGAGCACACTAAACTTCAGCTTCTTCTTGACTAAATCATAGTGAACAAAATGTCTATTGTCACCAGCTGCAGATAGGATTTTTACTCATTAACTCCATAGACCTCACTTCTGCACCCGGTCTATAGTTTCTGTTTAAATATTTTCCCTTTGTACAAATCAACATGCTCCAACTTGTCTGCCACTATTTTGCTGGCACACATGAATTTTCCTACTGATGAAAACTAAAGGTTGCTTCTTTTTTACCTTATGAAATTTTTTAACCAAAGCACCATGACTGTGTCTAATTAGTTTTCCATTTCAATTTATTTTTGGGCTAATCTATTCAAATTATGTCTTTAAAATTATTAACCCTTTTCAACAGTTTTGGAAAACTCTTTACTTATTCATTAACATGTAGTGCTAGTTATTTTGAACTGCCAAGCAACATGTTTTATTTAGATATCCTGAATAAAAAAAATTAATGTCCTAGAGATTAATTAGAATACTCACCACCATCAGCTGATCTGAGTCTGATTATCATCACAGCTAGATGAAGCAGAAGACTTTGTTTTCTAGATATGTACAGAAAATAGACATATGTATTAAAACATTGTAAATATCAAAAGGTAACAAAAAAAATCACAGCTATATTACACGTAAAAATCCTCCCCGTTTTGCAAACGCAAAGACATACAATAGAAGCAGTGAGTCATATTCTTAGAGGTTTCAGATTGTTTCACTACAGGTAACAATGCAAAGTCGTAGTTGGTGAGGCATGAGACAAACACATTAGAACAAGTAATGCATGAATATTTAAAACCACTATTTACTCCCTTGGGACACGTGGGGACTTTTAGTTGTATGTAATGTTATGATTCAGTATCACAAATTTATTTAATGAGGTTTCCCATATAAATGATTTTTCGATGGCCTGTGTTTGAACAATCTGTCAATATTTATATTGAAGTGGAAATTTCTTGAGAGATGTATAACCTTTTTCCATGATGACATAACTTTTGTGTTATACCTTGGTGATAAAAAAGCTTTCATTGGGAAATAATTAACCAGCTGACTTAACTTACACAAGAGGCTTTTCACGACTTCTAACAGCTTTTCTTTGTGTGTTCAGTTCTTATTCTCATTATTATTCTCATTAACAATTCATTTTTGGACTTATTTGCATTGATGTCTTTTTATGTGTTTATTAATTTGCTTATTATTACTAACAAATGGTGCGGATTTAATTTTAACAGGCCAGTTGGAAATGTATTCTCATCCAAAAACTTTTTAAAATACTTTTTCCACTAACAAATGGAACAACATTTATTCACATTACAGCCTCCCTGCCAAAACACTAATCTATACCTGCACATAATCTCTATTTGATTTAAGCCAGGACTCTGGTTGACCCACTTCAGCATGTTCATAATGCTTCAAACTTGAAGATATGTGGTAAATTAAAAGTATGCTTTAAATCTGAATACACCTGGGGTATAAATAATTTTGTGCTTGGATAAAAAGTTAAATGAAGTCAGCACACTAGTGCTTGGAACATAGTAATCCACCAATTAGATGACAAATGCACTGTATTATTAGATTTTAAGCAAACTACAAAAATATTGTGGTAATGAAAAAAACAATTCTACCTAGCTTATTAATTCTAATGTTTTATCACCTCAGCACATCGACAGGACGTTACTATATATTTTCACATGAAGTGATATTTATAGTGGTTTTCTGATCAGACTCTATATTTGCTGTAAATCAGCACTGCGTGTGAGCTTTCATTTACCAGAAACTCTCACTTCTGCGATGACAAATAGCCATTAAAAGTGTTACACCAGAGATCACATTATTTATGATCATTAAGCAATTGTCTGTGTCCGCAATTACATAATCACAGTGACATATTGGTGGAATGTGAGGATGACTTACAGAAGCATGTGCCAAATCCTTGACGCCTGTTGAAACAAAAACACAAGTTAACACCGCAAGATGATGGATTATCTTCTGGTTACAAGCATTTACACAGGACAAGCTGAATCTGGTTATGAACAAACAGGTTGTGTTTGTCTTTGAGCTTTTACAAATTACAATTACTTGAAGTAATGCAAAAATAAATATTGGTTTTTTTCAGGTACATTTATATAGTGATCAGATAGTAACACAAATATATATATATATATATATATATATATATATATATATATATATATATATATATATATATATATATATATATATATATATATATATATATATATATATTTCTGAAATGTATGATTTATCTCTGATGATGCTTATGTGGGAAATTCTGGGATTTTTTGTCTTAGCTGAGCACAAGCCAGCATGTCTTCTGCAAACAACACCCAAAGGGAAATCCCTGGAGTACAGTTTGTTTGAAAGTGCAAAGCCAGAATTACTGGAAATACTTAAGCTGTTGACAACAGTTCAGTGACTCTATTTAATATGCCTATTTTGGCATCTTGCTTCTCTGAAGGAGAAGCAGTGATGTGATCAAGCCTGTAGTTACTTGATAAACTTTCAGTAGAGCTGGAATGTAAAACCGTTGAAGAGGAAATTAAATTTTTCTCCAGCATTTTTCTGGTAGGCACGTTAGCTCAGAAAATTCCCAGGCAGAAAGAAACCTCCTGTTTATTTAGGGTTTAGATTATAAAAACCTGAAGCAGTACAAAAAGATATAAAGTTGAAATCAATTGCTCCCTCTGACATGCATTGAGAACAGATCTTTGTCTAACCACTCTGCTCCAAATGCTTCAAAATACTTACTACACCTGGCATAACAATGCAAAGATAAGCTCCTCGCCTGCTAAACAGAAACCAAGATAAGAGGGAATTCCCAGGTGCGAGATAATTACTCGGTGGGCAGCGTACAATAAATTTAGTATTGGTATAATTGATACCAATTGGAATGTGATAGCAATATTTATATCTAAATATATAACAGGTAAAATTGTTTACATGATTTCACCATGCTAGATATCTAATGTAATTCCAATGTTCTGTCTCTAGGTAGTCCTGGCTATAATGAACACTTTGGTTTCTTTCCAAATTGTATCAATTGTTGCCTTTGTGTTCTCGGTTTTTGATTACACTTTTTATATGGTTTGGTTATTGATTCACACAACTAAGAAATCTTTTTACATGGGCTTTATGTCTAGAGAAAACTGTTTGTTTCAGAAGTTGGTTTCGTTGTGGTTAGAAAAAAATACCTTATGCATTACTTGGCTTTGCCTAGAGATGTTCTCATTAAAGCCATATGAGACTGTGGGTTAAGGCGTGGAGCATGGGCCATATCCGAAAAGGGAAAATGAAACATTGAAGTACTTAAGATGTGATGGCTTTTGTAATAACACACCCCTTGCATTTCTTTTATTTAAAGGAGGTCTAAAGATGCATGTTTTAACGTACAATACAAACTATTGGGATACTTCTTCAAGTTTGTAATGAATCAGTTATGTTCCTACTTTCAGAATTATTATACTTATTTACAATATAAAAAGAAATATTGTTTTTCAACGGGACAGTAGCCATTTCATTTCTTTGTATTGGAAAACTAACTGGGTATGCTGAGTAATCTAACCTAACTCTTATTAAGCTCACTAACTATAGTTGGCAAAACAACAAACCTAATAAGCATCCAAATCAACAATATGGATAGAATATCTCTGAGTCTAACATTAACTATTTGGTCTCAGTGTATTTTCACTGTCATGGCATTTAGTCTTATTTAATGTTGTGATTTTGCCTAATGTTATTTGAGCAATGTGTTTCATGCATTAACTTGCTCTGAAATCCCTCAGCATCATTTGTGCTATTCTAGCTTTTGTGGAATATGAAAGTCAGTAAAGCAAAGAAAGGGTCTTGATCAGTTTTTACCAATTTTGTAAAACACTTTTTTTTATCACCAATAATCTGAAAATATGCAGGTTGAAGATTTTTGAATTGTGCAAGGGTTATAACTAACATATTCTAGTCTGACTCCCTATTCTCTATTGATGAAAACTTTCTCCTCGAGTAAGAGATTACTTATATAAATGTTTAATCAGAGGATAAAGAGTAGAACTGAAGATGAACAAATTAACATAAAGTTTAGGTATAAAGCAATATAATTATACAGTTGATCAACTATCATGGTTTTAAATCTGATAGTACTATTTAAGATTGTGGCTAGTGATCCCTAATAAAGATTAGGCCTAATTAATCTAATGTGTAAGAGAATATGTTTATGACTTCTGCTTTTTTTTGTTACAGAGGAATGACATCATAATGAAACTGTCTGGGAATTTCCACATGGTGCAGGACGTCACCTTGTGCTGAACTGCTTCAGGGTTGACCCTGAAACTGAATCCCACTCAACTAATTCAGTTGAGTGTATTCATGTATTTTTAAGAGGCAGTCAAGCATTTCTAGATAAATGTAAACAGAACAGCAAAAAGTGCAACTTAGTGACTCTGGTGGTTAAAAGTAACAGACTCTACAGGAAATGATCATTAAAATGAGAGTTTATTCTCTCATGTTGAGCAAGTAAAGCTTCATATTAATCACCAACACACATGGATACACACACCGGAAAAGATGAGAAGACACCTTTTTTTTTCTTTTCTCGTGTGTCTTCATCATAATGCAAATCATTCTAGTACAGAAAGTCTGTCAACCATAAAAGCGGCACTTTAGATGGAAGTAGGAGACTGAATCAGGCACAAAATACATTTCTATCAGACTTAATATAAACAGCACAGCTGAAAGATAATCTCTATATCTCCAACAGCTGCCAGTCCGACATGACGTATTTGTTTACAAAGAACTTTATGTTCCAGACTTCCTGTCTTACATCAACATGGAAGGAAGTAATAGTCCTTATCACTAAACACACTTTGTGAGATGCAAAATTAATAAAAGTTTCTCACATTCATTTCAGAGAAGAGAAGACAGACTTACCATGATTTGATCTTGTCTTGTTCGCTGCCTGCCGACGGTCTGTGTGAAGACTGACTCTTCTTCCTTTTATAACATAGCAGGGCGGGGTCAAAAGCTGACTGCTTCCTTTTTGTTGACATATTAACACTATACACATGTTGGAAAGGTTCTGATTTAGTTAGAAATGTGACAATGAATAGGTTTCTCTAGAAGGAATTAGCTATATTTTGAAAAAGATTGTCTATTAGAATAAAGTGTATCTCAATATCTGTATCTGCTTCACTTGCAACAAAGTTCATTGAAGTGAAAAAGATAGTTGAATTAACGCTTTATCAGACTGTGCAATCTTCTCTTTGGCAAAACCACCTTTTCAGTAAACCAGAAAATGAAAATCCAATAAGCCAGAAAATGTTTCTTATACTTTTAACATGCAATAAAATTTGAATTTACTGAAATATTTTTTTTTAAGATTCTTTACATAATCTGACTGTCGTTTATAAATAAACAACATATAATGTTGTCTATTGTTGCGATATTTTCAACAAACATTTCCAATCTTATTTGAAATGTTGAAATAACAACTCGACTCTCAGGGAAGATGAATCTGTGCTTATAAGAATTTGCTTATAAGCAATTTATAAGCAAATTCTTATAATTTGCTAATTATAAGCAGCTGATTAACAGAGATTAATGAGCTGTAATCTCAGTTGATTACAGTTGATCAACCGTAATTAACTGAGAGCTAATTGTAACTCTCAGTTGCAGTAATCAGAAAAACACTTGTTTACACCTCTTGAACATTTTATTAAGTTACACACAAGCTTACTTGTATTTTCTTGAAATTTTATGTGATAAATCAAAACAATGCACCACATAATTTTAAGGACTGAGAAAGCAAAACATGATTATTGCATTGCTTTATGATTAAAGACATGAAAACTGTGGCATGCATTTATATTCAGCTGTAATAATCTTAAATAAAATTCATTGCCATTTTTTCAGATGTCACCTTGCTCCAACAGTTATTTCACCTTTATGTAATTTAATTTTAGCTATTCTGTGAAGCCTGGAGAGGTTTGTTACAGCGCTTTAGTAAGAGTGCAGTTCTAATGGAGACCCACCAAACCATTTATGTCCATCTAAACTGAGAAGCCAGCAAAAAGACACATCATTAAAGCAGATGGGAGGCTCATCATAATGCTGGATGAGCCGTAAGTATCCAAAGCTTAGGTGGGATAGTCTGTCGACTTTAAAACTATTTAAACAAACTTTAAATAGTTTTTTGACTATTTGTGCACTTCAACAAGTCATTGTCAAAGCCTTATAAGAGGTCATCTTGGAGTTCGCTACAGACTGTCTAGGGAACAAAGCAAAACTTTGATCAGACAAGACAACAAAAAGGATCTTTCTTTTTGGTCTGTATGCAAACCACCATGTGTGATGGAAATCTAACTTTGGGAAATTAACCTGAAAACACCATCACCAAAGTTAAATATGTTTCCAGCCACACTGTGTTGTGGGGAGGATTTTCTTCTGCAGTGTTACATAAGTTGGCCTGAACCACTAAAACTGAAGTGGAGACTAGAGTGATGATTCACCATTCAGCAAGACAGTAATATTTAACGATCAGCCTGAACTACTATGAAAGGATTTACATTAAAAAAAAAAACATTCATGCATTAGAACAGATCAGTCAAAGTTCAGGCCTAAATCAAATTGAGAATCTGAAACTAGATAAAATATAAGTAGTATTTTTTAGACGTTACCAATAATATCTGTTTGTGCTTAATCTATTTTGCACAGAAACATTGTTTTTATTTTTAAAGTTGCGTAAATAGTTACAACTGGGATTCTGCAAAGTTCTGACTCCAGAGAGGAGAATATAAATTGCTTGTTTTTATTACACTTAAAATAACTTTCCATGTATTATTTCCCTCTTGCTTCATAATTTTTCCTGATAGTCCTAACACACAATGCAATGAGTTTTGTGACAGTAGCACAAAAATGGTTCAAGAAGATTTACAAGGCATTACATCTCAAACCTTATCGGTGTATTTATTATAAGACTAAATACTTAACTTTCACTTGCTTTATGCTTCCAGAAAGTGAAGGGGATTCTTCCAGTTGATGGTAAATCCTTAAACATTAGGGATGTGTGATTTAGTGTGTGTGTGTGGGGGTGTGTGTGCGTGAAACAGTGTGTAATTGTGTGATGTATTCCCTGAACTTTCGCCTTTACCGCCAGACTGGGATGCCTTTGACATTTACCTCAGTGGTTGAGCAGAAATACTAGATCCTCCCTCAGCTGCCCTGTCATAACTGACCTGTCATAAACCACAGAGTTTCATATTCAGGTCTTGTTCTTTGGTGATTTCTGTGCCATTGAAGAACTTACAACTGTCTTTTATGCAGCTTGCGGTTCTCCACCACCTTTTGTAAAGGGGGTACTTATGTTTAAGTTTGGTCCCCCATATTTAGCTCTGTAGGAATCTTATTGACCCATCTTAGTGTTTTCTTTTCTATTCCAAATTTCCTGTTGGACTAAGGAGGCAAAGGCTTGTCAGCACAAGGGGATTGCCTTGGGATGAGTAGTCACTCTCCTACAGGACCAAGTTGCTGCAGACAAACTTCCCGCAAGGAGTCACATGACCTTTCCAGCACTACTTTGTTTTCTGAAAACATCAGAATGAAGAAACAAGGAATTCCAGGGATTTTCCATAAATGAAAACTCTCTCCAGCACTCCCTGATGGAGAGTAATGGTATTCCTGATATCTCCAACAGCCTGATAACGTAAAAACATCGGAAACCCCTTTTTTTTCTCTTTAGATTATGCAATTCGTCATAAATGAATAAGAAATTTTGCATCCCTGACATTTATGCAGTTTCAAAACAACAACAAGATGACAGTGAGGGATAGCAGGTGAGGTCCTTTTGCTGCCTGCCTAGAGTCACACAATACTTCAAATGCAAGAAATGCATCTATCAGTTTCGCCTGGGTCACTACATACAAGAGGAAGAATTCATCTTAAACAAAATGTTGATGTGTCTCAAGATGGTCATGCAAACCAGCCCTCAATGTAATACAGAGAGGGCTCTGTTACCTTTGGACTTTAAGTACTATATTAAATAAGGGACAGTTAAAATCCAGGGTGAAAGTTAATGGGAAACTGTTTGCAAATGAAACATACCTTGCACAACATTTCTAAGGAGGATTAAATCAATGTTACTAAAACATATTCTGGTGATCATGTTTCTAATACAATGGCTCAGCAAATAGAAAGTAGAGAACTACAGACAGTGTGTGGGTGGAAAGGTCTGATTACATTTACTGTACTTGTACAAGGAAATAGATTCTCACCTTTGAGGAGGGTTTTTTTTGTAGTTGTTTAATTAAGCCCAAAGCCACTGTTCATTTTGTTTTAGTAATGTCCCTAAAATTAAAACCAGGGTTTAGGTGGAGTTTAAAGAAGCACTTGTTGGGGAGGAGGGGTGGAAGCTGCAAGTTCCCTTTTCTAAAACTACAGACACAGTAAATTCAGTAAATTCAATCTGCATGTGGACTTTTCCTACCTTTTATTTAAGATAGGAAACAGCCTTGAAATGCCCTTTAACAATATGTGTGTTTGTCCATTTTTCTTTTCAGAGCACAAATTGAACTTGCTTGCTGGTATAGGCAACATTCACATATGGAGGGATATGATGTTACTACATATCAGTAACTTAGTAAACTGGAGTTGGCTACACAGGCAAATGCATCTCTGTGTTAATGGTGAAATATTCATCTTTTGAGAACTGAAACTGAGTTTATTTTCTATGGAACTTTTTTGTGTACAGCTCAGCACATCCTTCGCATGAGTTTAAAAATAAAATAAACATTTTATTGCACTGACATAATCTAACACTGGACAGATTAGACACAGAAACTTTTAAGTAATTTACTCATTGGGGGTCATGCAGGGATCCAGAAATAAATATTTATAAAAAAAGTGACTGGTGACACAAATAATGGAAGCCAAAGAGTAAATCAAATAAGTGTTGCCTTTTAAAAGCTGATAAAAGTGTCTAGGATGAACACATGTAATAAGTAGTCCATAACATTTTGATTCAAGTGGTTATAAAGATGGATAAAATTAATTTCAACAACCTTATCTATTTCTTTGTTAAGATTAAATCGTGTTCTGTCCAGCCAAACAGAATGGTGAGTCTTTACCAAACCTTACAGCAGGGTTCACTGTAAGGTTTGATATAGACCGCATGTGAGGTGCATGTAGACACGTTATAGCTGCTATGCCAGGGAAGAAACCAAAGGTGCAGGGGAAGCCAGGGGACACCAACAATAGCGGAAAACTGAAAAGAAATGTTTATCTTGTCATTTTGCATGTTGAGGAAGACGGCAAGGGATAGATGACAGAAAACTAAAGTTAGTTTCTGTCCTGTCACCATGAATGTGAACATGTCAATTTTTCTAGAAGTACAGAGACTTTTACTTGTACTTCAGCTGATCAATCGAGGCTCATCAACTAAGTATTTTGGCAACAATTACCCCAGGTGTATCTGACATGAAACAATGAGTGATGCATGTGGAAAGCCCCACATGTCCTCTGTTGATTATGGTTGAAGATCATAGATGCATTGGACTCTTGCAAAGGCCCACAGGTATCTATATCCAACAGACCAATAATATAAAGCCTGATTTTCACTGGTGTTTTAAGAACAGAACATAAAATGGCTCACTATATGCAAAATTAACTGCCTTGAGTATAGTACATGATGCTTTGTCCTAGGTTGTTGGTAATCAAATGTAAAACAGAGAACAAACACTTATTAGCCATCATTAAGTCAATAATTAATTGCTTTGTACCACACATAGTGAATCAGGTGATCACGTGGCAGCAGATCAGTATATTTAGACGTTTGCACATCTCGACAACTTGATGAAATTCAAACAAAGCATCGTAAGGGTGAAGAAAGGAGATGTAAGGGACTTTGACTGTGATTTGATTGTTGGTGCCAGACAGTGTGGTCTGAGTAATACTCTGAAGTTTTTGTGTACAGGACTGCAG